AAGCGAGATGAATTATACCTCGTTACGTATATCTACATAATGCAAGCGAGATGAATTATGCCTCGTTACGTATATCTACATAATGCAAGCGAGATGAATTATGCCTCGTTACGTATACCACATAATGCAAGCGAGATGAATTATGCCTCGTTACGTATATCTACATAATGCAAGCGAGATGAATTATGCCTCGTTACGTATATCTACATAATGCAAGCGAGATGAATTATGCCTCGTTACGTATATCTACATAATGCAAGCGAGATGAATTATGCTTCGTTACGTATATCTACATAATGCAAGCGAGATGAATTATGCCTCGTTACGTATATCTACATAATGCAAGCGAGATGAATTATACCTCGTTACGTATATCTACATAATGCAAGCGAGATGAATTATGCCTCGTTACGTATATCTACATAATGCAAGCGAGATGAATTATGCCTCGTTACGTATTTCTACATAATGCAAGCGAGATGAATTATGCCTCGTTACGTATATACGGGAGCAGGACTATTGAGCGGTGGACTGTTGAGCGTAGGACTGTAGGTCGGTGAAGGTCGGAAGTAGGACTGTAGAGCGGTGTCAAATCGCCAGGGTAGGACTCTAGAGCGGCCGCCCTTATAGATCTCACAACATGAGGACTTTAGAGCGGTACGATCCTAAAATGAGGACTGTAGAGCGGTGGACTGTTGAGCGGTGGACTGTAGGCCGGTGAAGGTCGGAAGTAGGACTGTAGAGCGGCCCTCCCTTATAGATCCCATAACATGAGGACTCTAGAGCGGTACCCTCCTATAACATGAGGACTCTATAGCGGTTGAAAATTTGAAGATTGAACACTCAACGAAGCTAAGTTATACATTGTAACTCGTGATTGATTATGGTCATGACATTCTAGGATGATAACTTTATTAAAGAGTCATGGAGTTAATGAACATTTTCATTCACTTGTTATAAATATTTCATTACTAATATTATAGTGTAACTTAATTCAAGATTATTGGTCGGTCTCAACGTCTTCCAAATGATTGAAATATTCCCCTGCTACTCAAAAATTTAAAACGTGTCTTCGGTATTTTAGTGAACTGTTCGTATCAATGTGATTTCGCTAAGCTGAAGCAGAGTACCGATCAAGTTCGTGCAGATCATTTAGGAATGAGGATCGCATCGCGTGACGCTTTAGCGCCTACTAAGGATATCTCATGTTCATCAATCTGGTGACGGGACTGATTCAGATCAGATCCCATCGCAGTGCGATATCTTGTTAGGATGACCTGGGTACAAGGGGTTTCCACCGCTCGCAGCACTAAACCTGCCCGCTTTCCTCCTCAATCCTGGAACCTCGTCAATCGGACTAATTGCAACCTCAACAAGACGAACAACTACGCAGAGGCCTTCAACAGAAAGTTTGCAGCCATGGTGGGTCACCATCTGGAACTTCCTACAAGCTGTTTACGTGGAACAGTCCACGACGGATGAGATGATACTCAAGGAGAGCTACGGGGACGCTCCTCCTGCTAAACGAGCCCGTCAAATCACGACGGACCGCCGACTAGCCCACCTAGTGGAAACCCCTTGTACCCAGGTCATCCTAACAAGTTATCGCACTGCGATGGGATCTGATCTGAATCAGTCCCGTCACCAGATTGATGAACATGAGATATCCTTAGTAGGCGCTAAAGCGTCACGCGATGCGATCCTCATTCCTAAATGATCTGCACGAACTTGATCGTTACTCTGCTTAGCGAAATCACATTGATACGAACAGTTCACTAAAATACCGAAGACACGTTTTAAATTTTTGAGTAGCAGGGGAATATTTCAATCATTTGGAAGACGTTGAGACCGACCAATAATCTTGAATTAAGTTACACTATAATATTAGTAATGAAATATTTATAACAAGTAAATGAAAATGTTCATTAACTCCATGACTCTTTAATAAAGTTATCATCCTAGAATGTCATGACTATAATCAATCACGAGTTACCATGTATAACTTATCTTCGTTGAGTGTTCAATCTTCAAATTTTCAACCGCTATAGAGTCCTCATGTTATAGGTGGGTACCGCTCTAGAGTCCTCATGTTATGGGATCTATAAGGGAGGGCCGCTCTACAGTCCTACTTCCGACCTTCACCGCCTACAGTCCACCGCTCAACAGTCCACCGCTCTACAGTCCTCATTTTGGGATCGTACCGCTCTAAAGTCCTCATGTTGTGAGATCTATAAGGGCGGCCGCTCTAGAGTCCTACCCTGGCGATTTGACACCGCTCTACAGTCCTACTTCCGACCTTCACCGACCTACAGTCCTACGCTCAACAGTCCACCGCTCAATAGTCCTACAGCCGTATATCTACATAATGCAAGCGAGATGAATTATGCCTCGATACGTATATCTACATAATGCAAGCGAGATGAATTATGCCTCGTTACGTATATCTACATAATGCAAGCGAGATGAATTATGCCTCGTTACGTATATCTACATAATGCAAGCGACATGAATTATGCCTCGTTACGTAGATCTACATAATGCAAGCGAGATGAATTATGCCTCGTTACGTATATCTACATAATGCAAGCGAGATGAATTATGCCTCGTTACGTATATCTACATAATGCAAGCGAGATGAATTATGCCTCGTTACGTATATCTACATATGCAAGCGAGATGAATTATGCCTCGTTACGTATATCTACATAATGCAAGCGAGATGAATTATGCCTCGTTACGTATATCTACATAATGCAAGCGAGATGAATTATGCCTCGTTTACGTATATCTACATAATGCAAGCGAGATGAATTATGCCTCGTTACGTATATCTACATAATGCAAGCGAGATGAATTATGCCTCGTTACGTATATCTACATAATGCAAGCGAGATGAATTATGCCTCGTTATGTATATCTACATAATGCAAGCGAGATGAATTATGCCTCGTTACGTATATCTACATAATGCAAGCGAGATGAATTATGCCTCGTTACGTAGATCTACATAATGCAAGCGAGATGAATTATGCCTCGTTACTTATATCTACATAATGCAAGCGAGATGAATTATGCCTCGTTACGTATATCTACATAATGCAAGCGAGATGAATTATGCCTCGTTACGTATATCTACATAATGCAAGCGAGATGAATTATGCAACATAGCAACTCCACATGTAAGATTCATCTCAATTTTGTTTCTTCATCTCAATTTTGTTTCTTCCTAAAATATTAACGATTTGATTGGTCAGGATGGGCCTAAATGGGAAATCTCTTGAAAATAAGCAGTACAACGATCTACCATAAAGAGTGCAATTGTGCAATTACTATACATTTTCAATATCCCTACCTGTACTGTTCTGGAGGGTACCGCGACAATTGACCCCCCGACAATTGACCCCCCGACAATTGACCCCCCGACAATTGACCCCCCGACAATTGACCCCCCGACAATTGACCCCTATGTAATTACACTGGGGTCAATTGTTGCGAAATCTAGGGCTGAGTACGACAATTGACCCCCCGACAATTGACCCCCCGACAATTGACCCCTATGTAATTACACTGGGGTCAATTGTTGCGAAATCTAGGGCTGAGTACGACAATTGACCCCCCACGTAATTACACTGGGGTCAATTGATCGGGTTAGGGTCAGGGTCCTGGATCAGGATCCTGGGTCAGGGTCCTGGGTCAGGGTTAGGAATAGGGTTAGGGTTAGGGTCCTGGGTCAGGGTAAGGGTTAGGGTTAGGGTTAGGGTAAGGGTAAAGGTAAGGGTTAGGGTTAGGGTTAGGGTTGGGGTTGGGTTTGGGGTTAGGGTTCGGTTTGGGTTTGAGGGTTGTGGTTTGGGTTGGGGTGGGGTTGGGGTTGGGGTTGGGGTTGGGTTTGGGGTTGGGTTTGGGGTTGGGTTTGGGGTTTGGGGTTGGGGTTGGGGTTGGGGTTGGGTTTGGGGGTTGGGGTTGGGTTTGGGGGTTGGGGTTAGGGTCAGGGTCAGGGTCAAGGTCAGGGTCAGGGTCAGGGTCAAGGTCAGGGTCAGGGTCAGGGTCAAGGTCAGGGTCAGGGTCAGGGTCAGGGTCAGGGTCAGGGTCAAGGTCAGGGTCAGGGTCAGGGTCAGGGTCAGGGTCAGGGTCAGGGTCAGGGTCAGGGTCAGGGTCAGGGTCAGGGTCAGGGTCAGGGTCAGGGTCAGGGTCAGGGTCAGGGTCAGGGTCAGGGTCAGGGTCAGGGTCAGGGTCAGGGTCAGGGTCAGGGTCAGGGTCAGGGTCAGGGTCAGGGTCAGGGTCAGGGTCAGGGTCAGGGTCAGGGTCAGGGTCAGGGTCAGGGTCAGGGTCAGGGTCAGGGTCAGGGTCAGGGTCAGGGTCAGGGTCAGGGTCAGGGTCAGGGTCAGGGTCAGGGTCAGGGTCAGGGTCAGGGTCAGGGTCAGGGTCAGGGTCAGGGTCAGGGTCAGGGTCAGGGTCAGGGTCAGGGTCAGGGTCAGGGTCAGGGTCAGGGTCAGGGTCAGGGGCCTGGGTCCTGGGTCCTGGTCAGCCGGGGGGGGGGTCAATTGTCGGGGGGGTAAATTGTCGGGGATCTATTGTCGGGGGGTTATTTGTCGGGGGCTCAATTGTCGGGGGGTCAATTGTCGCCCACCCTTCTGTTGAAGCCCTATTTTGCCTTAATAAGGAATTAAGGAACAATACAACGACTCTATATGGACACGAAAAAAGCTCAATGTATATGCTACAATTCTCGAAGTATCCTGCAATTCTAGGAATTGAAAAAATGTCTGTCCTTTCAGAGCAATTGAACTAACAGTAGCAATACGACGAACACAATAACTGCCTACAAATACACTAATAAACGGTCAATGCCCGGAAATTTCTCACAGTTAGCCAAGGTCGAACACAGCACTAAGCAGGGTGGGGCACAAGGAACGAATAGGGCACAACAATGAGTCTTATCTAAAACAAATAATATGAGAACGAAGACTATGTCGTCTAAATACTATAAAACGTTTACAAACCTGATAACTTGGGGTTGAGGAGAGAGTCTTCACAAGATAGATACCAGTTAGAAAGTAGTTGCTCGAATAAGTTGTTGTGATCCTGTACTTCTTATCACTGAAATTCTCCGCGTGAGTTTTTTATTTTACAGCTTTACAATAGGACGCGGGCAGTCGTATTCTAAAATGGTACTAACTCAGATGTCCCTCACATAAATGGAGGAATTAATTAATTGATATTAAGTAGGTAATTAACTAATCAAGAACAGCCCCGTAGCCAAGATAAGAAGATAATCTGCCATGGCAGGCGAGTCCGACCGGACAGCTAGGGCCAGGGGACGTAAAGCCGAATGAAACATTTTGAGAGAATTTGAGAATATTTCCACGTTATCCTGCATTTTCCACGTTATCCTCCATTTTCCACGTTATCCTGCATTTTGCCTTAGCTTTTTGAAAAAAAGGCCTCGATTTATGTGAGGGACATCTAAGCCCAGCAGATATTGGTACTGAGGCATCTAATAAAGGGTGTCAAGAGTCGGAAACTGCCAGCTGTTCTGACATTTATAAACTTTAAGAAGGCTTTCTACAGTGTACATCGTGGGAAAATGCTCAAGATTCTAAAAGCTTAAGGTATTCCAGTCAAAATCGTAAGGCTTATACGGCTCATGTACGAGAAGACAACGGCCAAAGTCCTAACTCCAGACGGAGAAACTGTTGTTTGAGGTACTAGCAGGTGTGTTACAGGGTGATACCTTAGCACCTTACCTTTTTGCAATAGTCATCGACTACTGTATGAGGCAAGCCATAGGTGATGATGCGGAGCGACTTGGACTCACTCTCGAACGTAAAAAAGCAGAAGAGTGGGGCCCAAGATCATCACCGATGTGGACTTTGCAGATGATATACCACTTATTTCTGAGGACATGGACAAGGCCAACGAGTTCCTCAGTTCCTGCTCCGAGTAGAATCGCGGCGGCAGCGAGCGTATGGCTACACTTAAACGAAGGCAAGAGGATGATGATTAATCACTCTACACTAGACTATCACGTGACTTTTTCAACCCGTTCTCTAGCTGGCCTTGAACGACTATTCGAAACCCTAACCCTCTTATCTGATCCCAACCCTAACCCTAACCCAATCCCTTGTAGCGCGATGCACTACTGGGTCGCGCGCGCATCAAATAATGCTTCTCGGTAGATCGGCGAGATGCACCACTGTGCCTCACCGAGCTGCGAAGGATTGACATCGTGAATCAACCCAATCCCTAACAAAAGCATATGCTGAAACCCTAACCGAACGAGAAATTCGACTAACTTCCTTATACGCACGGTCATATCACGTGATCAAGACAGTTTTTCGCCAATATCTTGGCAGGGGAGCATTTTAACCCTATGTCATGGGGTGTGATTCTGAATCAACGTCCGAAAATACATCGATCTCGAAGATCGACTGATTTAGCACGCTCAAAGGCAAGACCAAGGTTATGACATTGGAATTTGAATATGGAGGATCGATCTAGCGACCTCTAAAGCATGAGGTACCCTACAATGTAAGTTACATAGCACAAATAGGGAGATAAGGGTTAGAAAGGGAAAAGCATGAGGTGCCCTACATTGACGGAAGGATATTTGGAAATTCAAACCCTGAAAGAGCCTTAAGATTAGATTGTTCATAGCGGCTTGTGAGTCAGTACTGCTCTATGGATCAGAAACCTGGAAACTGACGAAGGCTCAAGAGAAAAGTTTGGACGGGACATACACAACGATGCTGCGTATGGTGCTGGGTATCTCATGGAAGAACAAGGTCAGCAATATAACTTTGTATGGTAGCCTACCAAGGCATCAGTTATTCAATTATGCAATTGACTGACGCCGAGTAGGGTTACGAAGCAGGAGATTAAAAATGGCAGGACACTGCATCAGACATCCTAAGCTACTTGCTAGTGATTTAGTCTTATGGGAACCTATGCATGGTAGAGCACAGTAAGGCCGACCAAGACAAAGCTACTTGTCTATTAGTGCTTTTCATTCAAACAAGTAAAAACGAATCCTTTATGTCATGTTTCCAGGGTTTGGACTGGAATTGCCCGCTTAAAGAACTTCCATCGCGTTACATTAAATAATTTTCTCAATAAATGTAATAGATTTGTAGTGTTGTAATTAGTTACTGAAGGAAGTTGTGACAAACTCTAAAGAGGAACTGCGAACCCTGATGCGGGACAGGAGTCAGGAATATATCTTAGATGGCAAGTACGTACGGTACAGGGCTTTAAGTACGTACGGTACAGCTACTTTTAAAGGTACGTACCGTACAGGCACTGTAAGGTACAATTTTTTTTCAAATTTTTTGAATCAACTTCAGTGAATTACTTGCAATTTTTGATTAGTATTATCATCATAATTTTTGAGATAGAAGTCGAAAATAAACACAGTGGTTAAAACAATAAAAGATTTAAGAGGAAAATTTGTGTACCGGATCGCTCTTAACCGGTACTACACTACTACTACTTGTAATTATCGCAACCTTAATCTACGATTGTCCATAATATACTCATAATCCATTGCTATCAACTTGCAACTGGATTTGTACCTTTCAGCCTTCTTTATTAAGTACGTACCGTACAGCTAATTTAAAGGTACGTACCGTACGAACTTCCCATCTTAGGAATATATGGATGGGGTTATCTGGCGCTTCGCCAAGTTCCTGCCTTAATCTTATTGCTGGCTACGTGGCTGATCAAGAACCAATAATTGTGGGAGAAAGATTGAGATTTGAGCTGTCTAGATACTGAGTATCTTATCGCTTTAAAATAGCGTGCTGGCAGTCGTATTCTTAAATGGTATTGGCACTTACTTAGAAATAGATGTCCCTAAAATTAATCAGCATATTTATTAATTAAAAAGTAATATAAAAGAAAGATTAAGTTGTTTTGTAAAACATTCACAAACCTGATATTTGATAACCTGGGGTAGGACGAAGTCTTCACAAGGTCAAGATAGATTAGTTAGGAATAAGGAAACAGGTTTCTTCTCAAAATCGTTTTTCAAAGTTTCTTGAAACTCAGTCACTGAAAACATTTTCAATCAAAAACCATTGAAAAAGGTGTACCAGAAGTTATACTTATAACATGTAAAATCCGGATTGGAGTATTGTTTATGAGTCGCCTGGTTGCAATGTATTCTTGTAATTGTATAAATTTGTATTGATCCCGTTTGAAGTTATAACGGCTGTACATGTAAAGTGTAAGTGTCCCAGGCCCCCAAATTGCCCACAAACACATAACTTAACTGGGGCGTAAAGTCCCTATTATTGGAGATGTAAATTGTAAGTGCTCCAGACCCCAGCTATGCCAGGTGAAAATCTATATTAAATCACGGTACTTTCCAGTATCAGCCATAATAACCCAACTGAGACTAATATAACATCTGCATTGTATTGGTAATTTATATTATGTAGTAAGTTACACGAAAAAGAAAAGAAACAGTACTAACTACCCCGAGTTTAGCTGATCGAGAATAAGAAATAAGTCACAACGAGCTGACGAACCAAACCATTCGGATGTAGATTACTGGCATTCCAGAGTACATGATTAAATGCGTCACGTGCACTTCACGTGACCCGTCCGAGAGCTCAGAATAGCGAGTTTAATGTCAGCAGGTAAGGTAACGTGATGTGTAACGTGACATTTCATTAGATCACGGCGGTATTATATTACCTACCTACACGGAGCTGAGAGTACTCAACACCTTTCTAGCTGGTGAGTAATGAGTATTAGCCTGTAGCAGACCGGAATTGAGCCCTGTAATTTGTAGGTAATTGTTGGTGTGTAGCTGAGCTGCTCATATCGCATAATACAATTAAACTGTGTCACAAAGTTAGGGGTTTTGTGACAATCTAAGGATTTGTAGTGACAAAGCAAAAACTTGACAAATCATTTGGAGCAATGAGTTGTATATAAGTGACGTACGCTGCTGCAAGCTGCTGACACCTCGACAAAAGCTTCTCACGCTATTGTGCTTTTTATGGAGAACTACGTCAGCAGCGTTTTTGAGCTTGTTATTTCAAAAGTATTCCAAGTGATTTGTATAAGTGCATATATTGACTCTGAATACATAGCAATTAAAATAATTTTCCTCGATTCATGAAGTTTGAAAGAAGTTACAGCAATGCGCGCAATTTGGGGAGTGTGCTTTTGGCGGGGATATAATATGCAAGCCTCTTGATTATATAAACTGCGCCTATACGTATAAGTGACATGACGCTACTGCAAGCTGCTGAAACTCTTTTAGTTTATTGCGTGAGACAAATTAGAATGAGGGAAGCTAGATTTCCCATAAACGTTGGATAACATGCCGGACAACGCTCATTATATAGACCACCGTATTGCAGACTGCAGAGTTATGTCTATCTAGTTTGTTAGTTTGTTCGTTATTATTTGTAACTGCTGAATGTTTAATGTGGTGGAGTGATACCTGTCAAGTCATCACTTATTACTCAATATAATACAGTGCTCTATATATTACTCAATATACTACTATACTACTATACTATATATTACTCAATATACTACTATACTACTATACTATATATTACTCAATATACTACTATACTACTATACTATATATTACTCAATATAATACAGTGTTCTATATATTACTCAATATACTACTATACTACTATACTATATATTACTCAATATACTACTATACTACTATACTATATATTACTCAATATACTACTATACTACTATACTATATATTACTCAATATACTACTATACTACTATACTATATATTACTCAATATACTACTATACTACTATACTATATATTACTCAATATAATACAGTGTTCTATATATTACTCAATATACTACTATACTACTATACTATATATTACTCAATATACTACTATACTACTATACTATATATTACTCAATATACTACTATACTACTATACTATATATTACTCAATATACTACTATACTACTATACTATATATTACTCAATATACTACTATACTACTATACTATATATTACTCAATATACTACTATACTACTATACCATATATTACTCAATATACTACTATACTATATATTACTCAATATACTACTATACTACTGTACTATATATTACTCAATATACTACTATACTACTATACTATATATTACTCAATATACTACTATACTACTATACTATATATTACTCAATATACTACTATACTATATATTACTCAATATACTACTATACTACTATACTATATATTACTCAATATACTACTATCAACTTAATAACACCAGAATGTGTGTGTGTCTGTGTGTGTGTCTGTGTGTGTGTCTGTGTGTAATTTCCGAACGGTTATACAAAAAAAACGGTAATAGTTACGGGACTGGTTTTTTCGGTATAGTGCCGACAAAACTCTGACGAAGCCAATAAGCAAATTTTATAAAAATCGGCCGGTGGTAAGTGGTTTAATTGATGGTTTTGTACCACAAAATATGTTACATAAAATGGCTTGAGAAGAACGGCAAGAGTTACGGGGCTAGCTCTCTCTCTCTCTGCATATGTAGCGTATATATTACATGGCGTATATATTACATGGTCATATAATACTATAAACTTATTAGGGGAGGGAGTGCTCAAACGGTCTGTTTGGACTGTAGAGAGAGTTCATACTTTCATACGACAATGTAATGCATGTTCACAAATATGATAGGCTGGTGTGGTGCATGGTGTTAAGGGTTAATTTCTATTGATTATTGATTAAGAATTACTATCTTTTAAGCATACTATTGGATACGTGAGGGCACTCCGAATAGAATTGCTCGCCTAATCCGGGTTTTGACTCAGCGGGTAATTACTCCTACCCTTTTTAACTGCGGCAGTGAAATCCCGGCCGTAGGCCGGGTTACACTAGTACTATATATTACTCAATATACTACTATACTACTATACTATATATTACTCAATATACTACTATACTACTATACTATATGTTACTCAATATACTACTATACTACTATACTATATATTACTCAATATACTACTATACTACTATACTATATATTACTCAATATACTACTATACTACTATACTATATATTACTCAATATACTACTATACTACGATACTATATATTACTCAATATACTACTATACTACTATACTATATATTACTCATATCGTATATCTACATAATGCAAGCGAGATGAATTATGCCTCGTTACGTATATCTACATAATGCAAGCGAGATGAACTATGCCTCGTTACGTATATCTACATAATGCAAGCGAGATGAATTATGCCTCGTTACGTATATCTACATAATGCAAGCGAGATGAACTATGCCTCGTTACGTATATCTACATTTTTTTTTTATCTAGACACTTATTTTACTTCGGTGTATTCCAACAGCCACAATGTTACACAAGTGCAACCAGCCAATTACAGGAAGCCGAAGGATCTTTTTGGCCAGTGACGGTTAAGGTAGTGTGTACCATACTTTCTTCGTCCGAGACTTTGCTGCAATGTGCAGCTCCTCATTTAACCCTCACACCCGATTTCTCGAGTATTCGGCTGAGTAGACCGGGGGGCTGCATAGACCACTCATGATCCTTAGCTGAACGTCGACGACGCTCACCCCACGACCAGGCAGTCAGTGGGTTTCGAACTCGCAACCTAACGATTGTAAGACAGGCGTTCTAACCAACTGCGCTACCTGGCCGCTAAAAATAATGCAAGCGAGATGAATTATGCCTCGTTACGTATATCTACATAATGCAAGCGAGATGAATTATGCCTCGTTACGTATATCTACATAATGCAAGCGAGATGAATTATGCCTCGTTACGTATATCTACATAATGCAAGCGAGATGAATTATGCCTCGTTACGTATATTTACATAATGCAAGCGAGATGAATTATGCCTCGTTACGTATATCTACATAATGCAAGCGAGATGAATTATGCCTCGTTACGTATATCTACATAATGCAAGCGAGATGAATTATGCCTCGTTACGTATATCTACATAATGCAAACGAGATGAATTATGCCTCGTTACGTATATCTACATAATGCAAGCGAGATGAATTATGCCTCGTTACGTATATCTACATAATGCAAGCGAGATGAATTATGCCTCGTTACGTATTTCTACATAATGCAAGCGAGATGAATTATGCCTCGTTACGTATATCTACATAATGCAAGCGAGATGAATTATGCCTCGTTACGTATATCTACATAATGCAAGCGAGATGAATTATGCCTCGTTACGTATATCTACATAATGCAAGCGAGATGAATTATGCCTCGTTACGTATATCTACATAATGCAAGCGAAATGAATTATGCCTCGTTACGTATATCTACATAATGCAAGCGAGATGAATTATGCCTCGTTACGTATATCTACATAATGCAAGCGAGATGAATTATGCCTCGTTACGTATATCTACATAATGCAAGCGAGATGAATTATGCCTCGTTACGTATATCTACATAATGCAAGCGAGATGAATTATGCCTCGTTACGTATATCTACATAATGCAAGCGAGATGAATTATGCCTCGTTACGTATATCTACATAATGCAAGCGAGATGAATTATGCCTCGTTACGTATATCTACATAATGCAAGCGAGATGAATTATGCCTCGTTACGTATATCTACATAATGCAAGCATGGCAACTCCACATGTAAGATTCATCTCAATTTTGTTTCTTCATCTCAATTTTGTTTGTTCCTAAAATTTTAACGTTTTGATTGGTCAGGATGGGCCTAAATGGGAAATCTCTTGAAAATAACCAGTACAACGATCTACCATAAAGAGTGCAATTGTGCAATTACTATACATTTTCAATATCCCTACCTGTACTGTTTTGGAGGGTACCGCGACAATTGACCCCCCGACAATTGACCCCCCGACAATTGACCCCCCGACAATTGACCCCCCGACAATTAACCCCTATGTAATTACACTGGGGTCAATTGTTGCGAAATCTAGGGCTGAGTACGACAATTGACCCCCCATGTAATTACACTGGGGTCAATTGATCGGGTTAGGGTCAGGGTCCTGGATCAGGATCCTGGGTCAGGGTCCTGGGTCAGGGTTAGGAATAGGGTTAGGGTTAGGGTCCTGGGTCAGGGTAAGGGTTAGGGTTAGGGTTAGGGTAAGGGTAAGGGTTAGGGTTGCGGTTGGGGTTTGGTTTGGGGTTCGGTTTGGGTTTGAGGGTTGTGGTTGGGGTTGGGGTGGGGTTGGGGTTGGGGTTGGGGTTGGGGTTGGGTTTGGGGTTGGGTTTGGGGGTTGGGGTTGGGGTTGGGGTTGGGTTTAAGGGTTGGGGTTGGGGTCAGGGTCAGGGTCAGGGTCAGGGTCAGGGTCAGGGTCAGGGTCAGGGTCAGGGTCAGGGTCAGGGTCAGGGTCAGGGTCAGGGTCAGGGTCAGGGTCAGGGTCAGGGTCAGGGTCAGGGTCAGGGTCAGGGTCAGGGTCAGGGTCAGGGTCAGGGTCAGGGTCAGGGTCAGGGTCAGGGTCAGGGTCAGGGTCAGGGTCAGGGTCAGGGTCAGGGTCAGGGTCAGGGTCAGGGTCAGGGTCAGGGTCAGGGTCAGGGTCAGGGTCAGGGTCAGGGTCAGGGTCAGGGTCAGGGTCAGGGTCAGGGTCAGGGTCAGGGTCAGGGTCAGGGTCAGGGTCAGGGTCAGGGTCAGGGTCAGGGTCAGGGTCAGGGTCAGGGTCAGGGTCAGGGTCAGGGTCAGGGTCAGGTTCAGGGTCAGGGTCAGGGTCAGGGTCAGGGTCAGGGTCAGGGTCAGGGTCAGGGTCAGGGTCAGGGTCAGGGTCCTGGGTCCTGGGTCAGGGTCAGGGTCAGCCGGGGGGTCAATTGTCGGGGGGTAAATTGTCGGGGGTCTATTGTCGGGGGGTTAATTGTCGGGGGGTCAATTGTCGGGGGGTCAATTGTTGGGGGGTCAATTGTCGCCCACCCTTCTGTTGAAGCCCTATTTTGCCTTAATAAGGAATTAAGGAACAATACAATGACTCTATATGGACACGAAAAAAGCTCGATGTATATGCTACAATTCTCGAAGTATCCTGCAATTCTAGGAATTGAAAAAATGTCTGTCCTTTCAGAGCAATTGAACTAACAGTAGCAATACGACGAACACGATAACTGCCTACAAATACACTAATAAACGGTCAATGCCCGGAAATTTCTCACAGTTAGCCAAGGTCGAACACAGCACTAAGCAGGGTGGGGCACAAGGAACGAATAGGGCACAACAATGAGTCTTATCTAAAACAAATAATATGAGAAGGAAGACTATGTCGTCTAAATTCTATAAAACGTTTACAAACCTGATAACTTGGGGTTGAGGAGAGAGTCTTCACAAGATAGATACCAGTTAGAAAGTAGTTGCTCGAATAAGTTGTTGTGATCCTGTACTTCTTATCACTGAAATTCTCCGCGTGAGTTTTTTATTTTACAGCTTTACAATAGGACGCGGGCAGTCGTATTCTAAAATGGTACTAACTCAGATGTCCCTCACATAAATCGAGGAATTAATTAACTGATATTAAGTAGGTAATTAACTAATCAAGAACAGCCCCGTAGCCAAGATAATCTGCCATGGCAGGCTAGTCCGACCGGACAGCTAGGGGACGTAAAGCCGAAGGAAACATTTTGAGAGAATTTGAGAATATTTCCACGTTATCCTGCATTTTCCACGTTATCCTGCATTTTCCACGTTATCCTGCATTTTGCCTTAGCTTTTTGAAAAAAAAAGGCCTCGATTTATGTGAGGGACATCTAAGCCCAGTAGATATTGGTACTGAGGCGTCTAATAGAGGGTGTCAAGAGTCGGAAACTGCCAGCTGTTCTGACATTTATAAACTTTAAGAAGGCTTTCTACAGTGTACATCGTGGGAAAGGGCTCAAGATTCTAGAAGCTTACGGTATTCCAGTCAAAATCGTACAGCTTATACGGCTTATGTACGAGAAGACAACGGCCAAAGTCCTAATATAACTCCAGACGGAGAGACTGTTGTTTGAGGTACTAGCAGGTGTGTTACAGGGTGAAACCTTAGCACCTTACCTCTTTGCAATAGTCATCGACTACTGTATGAGGCAAGCCATAGGTGATGATGCGGAGCGACTTGGACTCACTCTCGAACGTAAAAAAAGCAGAAGAGTGGGCCCCAAGATCATCACCGATGTGGACTTTGCAGATGATATACCACTTATTTCTGAGGACATGGACAAGGCCAACGAGTTCCTCAGTTCCTGCTCCGAGTAGAATCGCGGCGGCAGCGAGCGTATGGCTACACTTAAACGAAGGCAAGAGGATGATGATTAATCACTCTACACTCGACTGTCACGTGACTTTTTCAACCCGTTCTCTAGCTGGCCCTGAACGACTATTCGAAACCCTAACCCTCTTATCTGATCCCAACCCTAACCCTAACCCAATCCCTAACAAAAGCATATGCTGAAACCCTAACTGAACGAGAAATTCGACTAACTTCCTTATACGCACGGTCATATCACGTGATCAAAACAGTTTTTCGCCAGTATCTTGGCAGGGGAGCATTTTAACCCTATGTCATGGGGTGTGATTCTGAATCAACGTCCGAAAATACATCGATTCAAGCTGTTTTCAACTGTCGGGGGCCCTTTAACCCATATAATACCAACAACTCTAAACGTTCGAATTTTTTGACGAAATTTTGTTTCCGAAGCATTAAGACACCAACTCCGACGATGCAATAATAATTTTGAAAAAATTTATATTTTTTATAGCTTTTTCGACCCGTACTTTTAAAAGGTCATTGTTGGAGCTTGCTTTTTTGGAAAATTGTATCGTACTTTTAAAAGTACATCATATTTGAATGATGTACTTTTAAAAGTACGGGTTTAATAAATAATGTACTTTTAAAAGTACGGGTTTAATGAATAGTGCACTTTTGGTGGTACATTAGTTAGTTAAATAGAAACTCAGGGTCAGATAATAAAACTAAAAGCCTTGGTCAGAATGGCTGAATAAAATTTAAACAATACCATACAAAATTTAAGTGGTACACTGAATAAATCATGATGGTGGGAACAGCTATACTTATAAACTACTATCACAATTCCATTTACCAGTTTACTTAGTTTACTATCAATTTTACTAAAATTGTCAGGTTTTGTGCTTTTTACTCTAACTGATGATAAGGCTTAAAACAAAGCACACAAAGTGCAACGTCACACACTTCGCACTTATAGTTGCTGCGACCTTTGCAGCCATTCAAAGCACATCGTCTTTGCTTTGTTTTTACTGGCCAGTGAGTGTTAGTTCTACTCTCCAGGCGGACCTCTGGGGTAACTCTGTTGTCACCCTTCCACACTGCAACTCTTTGGCATAGCGATGATGGGGGCTGCAATCTCTTCTTCAGGTAGGCTATTGTTATTCGTCGAATGAAGTTCAGATATGTCAGTTTCGTCTTTTCATTCGAATGACATATCTCATACAAAGAATATGATGCTGCTTTCAGGCAATCAAGCGTATTTATTAGGTGTGGCCACCACCACTTTTTTCCCCTTAGAGAGATTCTGTAGCTAGCCACATGGCCATCAAACACATCAACGTTACCCATTCCCTTGTTATACTCCTTGACAAGGGATGGTCGTTTGATTTGAATCTTCTTCTTTTCTGCTTGACTGTACCGTTCCACATCTGTGATAGGATTAACAGTAAAGATGTTGGAACCAACATTCACGACGCTATTGTCATGCCATTTTACAATGGTCACCCCTGTAAACTCGTCAATTCCCTTTGAAAAGCTCCCACGCCCTTCTTTCTTAAGTGCAGAATCAGTCTTGGTGGGGCAACTATTTGTTCTCTGACTTTGAATAGTACAAGATGCTCCAAGCTCCATGGCAGAGAATATGGCTAACAGCTTATAGCTGGCAAACCAATTGTCATAAAAGACGTTACTTTCTTTGGGTTCAAGAATCTCCATGGCCAGTTGTAAGGTTACCCGACTGGTGAGGTTCTTTCCAGGATCTCCGCCAATTCCTTTCTTACCACAGTAAGGGAGGCAGTGGTACGGGAATCCCGATGAGCCAACCAGCCAAAAGTTTTTATAGCCGAATCGGATGCTTTTATCCTTCATGCGTTGTTTAGCGCTATGCATCCCGGTGTAAGGGACCATCTGCTCGTCAATACTAAACGTATTATCAAGGTTCTTGAACTTAGCCAGACTTTGATTCATGATGTCGTAGAGAGGTCTTACCTTCCAATACTTATCTGTGGTGTCCACATCTCGATTGTCCACGCAATGAATGTACTTCTTCAGCAAATTATATCGGTTCCTTGATATGGCATCAGTAACCACACTCACATTAGTATCAACATTTGAATCCCAATAGAGGTGTGCTTGAGGTAACTTGTGATAGCCCGACAAAAGCAAAACCCCGATAAATGTTTTAATTTCATCTTTGTTTGTCTTGAAGGTTAAATCGCCAAATCGGCTATGAGCATAACGCTCCGACTCTGTGATAATTTGGGTTAACAAACTGTTTTCGGGGTCATCTACAAGTCTCTCGAAAATTTCATGGGGTAGCAAACCACCGAAATCTTGGATCAGTTTTGATCTATTAGCAATAACCTTCTCACTGTATGATGGGCGAGGTGAAAGATTTGGAGCTTGAGCAGAGTCGGCAACCCACTTACACGAGTTATTAATCTTCGGGCAGAGTCCTAAAAGTTTATTGATCTTCTCAGATGTATCTGTTGATGTGTCTTCGACAATATTTTGAACTTCTGATCGAAAAGCGACTATGTCCGGATACTTATTATCAATAGCATTAGTTGAACTTCGTGTAATAGGGGCAGGGTTCGTCAATTGTTCTGTGTCCAATTCATTATCTGACTCTTCTCCTACAAAATGTAGCTCATAGGTTCCAGCAGTATCTTTTACCGCAGACAAGGGGAGATTATCACCATCATTGTCATCGATCATTTCCGTATCACTCTCAACACCATCCGGAGGAAGGATGACAACATCTATCTCATTCGAAGACACTGTGGTTGCCAGCTCTAGAGCTTCGTCCAGCGTTCTCAAGTTATTATGCAAAGAAGTTTGTTCTTCTCGAACATTAATACGGACATTTTTCTGTTTCTTCGCTTTATTTTTGGTCTTCGTGTTGCTTCGAGCTGATTGTCTGGATCCTGTAAACTGCTTCACATCTTTTTCTAGAATTTCCCTCTTAACTTCAGCCATCTTCTTTGATTTTGGGGATTTAGTCGATCTTGAAGGATCCACGTTTTCACCCGGTTGTTCCACGTCTTCCAGAGCGGCCTCTACTTCAATATATAACTCTTTCTTAATGTTTACAATCCTAGATCTTGTAACTGGTTTCCGATGTATGTTTACTATTGAATACTGACATGATTGTGTGCCATCAGCAATCTGCTGTTCCAACATAAGATTCCTTTCATCTTGTAGTCTGTGCATTTCCTCATCTGCGTTGTTTTCCTCCTCTAGAATTGTCTCAGCCTCTGCTACCCTCTTCTGTTCCTCTAGAACTCGCTTAGCTTCTGCTACTCTCTTCTGTTCCTCTAGAACTCTCTCAGCTTCTGCTACTCTCTTCTGCTCCTCTAGAACTCTCTCAGCTTCTGCTACTCTCTTCTGTTCCTCTAGAACTCTCTCAGCTTCTGCTACTCTCTTCTGCTCCTCTAGAACTCTCTCAGCTTCTGCTACTCTCTCCTGCTCCTCTACTACTCTCTCAGCTTCTGCTACTCTCTTCTGTTCCTCTAGTACTCTCTCAACCTCTGCTACTCTCTTCTGTTCCTCTAGAACTCTCTCAGCTTCTGCTACTCTCTTCTGTTCCTCTAGAACTCTCTCAGCTTCTGCTACTCTCTTCTGCTCCTCTAGAACTCTCTCAGCTTCTGCTACTCTCTTCTGTTCCTCTAGACCTCTCTCTACCTCTGCTACTCTCTTCTGTTCCTCTAGAACTCTCTCAGCTTCTGCTACTATCTTCTGTTCCTCTAGAACTCTCTCAGCTTCTGCTACTCTCTTCTGTTCCTCTAGAACTCTCTCAGCTTCTGCCACTCTCTTCTGTTCCTCTAGAACTCTCTCAGCTTCTGCTACTCTCTTCTGTTCCTCTAGAACTCTCTCAGCTTCTGCCACTCTCTTCTGTTCCTCTAGAACTCTCTCAGCCTCTGATACTCCCTTCTCATTCTCACCATTTTCGGTATTCTTTAGGTTGTGAAAAGCTTCTGGGAGCTTTAGGGTTTGTTTGTGGACATCCAGCATTCTCTTGCATTCCACAAACTGAATCTTGATCCCTCCTGATCCTCCTTTATAAATCTTCAGTACTCGAGCCGGCTCCCACTGTCTCCCCCATTCTTTGTAAACAAGATCGCCTACGTCGAATTTATGGTCCTGGTGTAGTTTAGTATTAGCTATTTAATAAATAAGTTCATCAATGTGAAATTGCCTATAATTGGATTGTATCTCATGATGACAGATGTAGAGAAGTAATATTATATAGCATAACAGTAGTGTATAACACACCAGGGTCGCATCTTTCTCAGGGCTCCTCTTTCTCCTCCTTCTTTTCGCTGTATCTGACAAATCCATGTACACGTCCTGTACTTAGCTAAGAAATGAACTAAAAATATACTAAGAAAAGAAAAATTACAACAAGAAAAGAAAATACTAAGCTAAGAAATGTTAGTCAATAAACCAGCAAATGGCGTTACAACAAAATCGATATTTCATGCCCCACGGAGAGCACTGCTGACAGTCTAATAAATTGAGACCGAAGTTTATTATAACCTGCACAAAATGAAACTGAAAGCTTATAATATAAAGACGTAATAAATATAAATAATATCGGATTAACATGCCTAAGGAGACCTCACACTATAATTACACGAAGTCATAGTCAACTGTGAAATTATGCCAGTGCTGGCGAATCAGAGCGGAAAATTTCTGTTCCGTTCTGATTCAGAACAATTTACCTGCCATGACAGTGTTACCGGCATTAATTAAGCCAGCACACATTGTGTAGTCTATATAAACCAGCATACATTGTGTAGTCTATATAAACCTGTACTTTTAAAAGTACATTAATCGTGAAACCTGTCCTTTTAAAAGTACATCATTCGAAGGTAATGAACTTTTAAAAGTACGTGCTTTTAAAAGTACATCGTTGTCTAGAATGATGTACTTTTAAAAGTACACCCAATTTACATCTCAATTAGAGGTAATTTATGATTTTTATGTCGCTCCACATTATTGCCTATTTATTGCACAATCGTTTAGGCAATTTAAAAAAACCAAATTTGGGATCCATCAAAGTTGGAGAATTGGCTGGTGGTACCGAGAATTTACCATTTTTCAAAGTACCATTTTTGAACACCTTTGCCAACATCCTATAAATCTCTTGCTTTTGTTAACCATCTGGTCAGGGTGCTAAAATCATCAGCAGACCTTTTTTAACTTAATGCAAAAAACTGCATCCAAAAATATTTGTCATGAGACAAGTTAGGTCACTGTTTATGAACCGTACTTTTAAAAGTACCGTGGAAGAATATGGGAGACCGGACAGCTAGGGGACGTAAAGCCGAAGGAAACATTTTGAGAGAATTTGAGAATATTTCCACGTTATCCTGCATTTTCCACGTTATCCTGCATTTTCCACGTTATCCTGCATTTTGCCTTAGCTTTTTGAAAAAAAAAGGCCTCGATTTATGTGAGGGACATCTAAGCCCAGCAGATATTGGTACTGAGGCGTCTAATAGAGGGTGTCAAGAGTCGGAAACTGCCAGCTGTTCTGACATTTATAAACTTTAAGAAGGCTTTCTACAGTGTACATCGTGGGAAAGGGCTCAAGATTCTAGAAGCTTACGGTATTCCAGTCAAAATCGTACAGCTTATACGGCTTATGTACGAGAAGACAACGGCCAAAGTCCTAATATAACTCCAGACGGAGAGACTGTTGTTTGAGGTACTAGCAGGTGTGTTACAGGGTGAAACCTTAGCACCTTACCTCTTTGCAATAGTCATCGACTACTGTATGAGGCAAGCCATAGGTGATGATGCGGAGCGACTTGGACTCACTCTCGAACGTAAAAAAAGCAGAAGAGTGGGCCCCAAGATCATCACCGATGTGGACTTTGCAGATGATATACCACTTATTTCTGAGGACATGGACAAGGCCAACGAGTTCCTCAGTTCCTGCTCCGAGTAGAATCGCGGCGGCAGCGAGCGTATGGCTACACTTAAACGAAGGCAAGAGGATGATGATTAATCACTCTACACTCGACTGTCACGTGACTTTTTCAACCCGTTCTCTAGCTGGCCCTGAACGACTATTCGAAACCCTAACCCTCTTATCTGATCCCAACCCTAACCCTAACCCAATCCCTAACAAAAGCATATGCTGAAACCCTAACTGAACGAGAAATTCGACTAACTTCCTTATACGCACGGTCATATCACGTGATCAAAACAGTTTTTCGCCAGTATCTTGGCAGGGGAGCATTTTAACCCTATGTCATGGGGTGTGATTCTGAATCAACGTCCGAAAATACATCGATTCAAGCTGTTTTCAACTGTCGGGGGCCCTTTAAGAACAATCTCAAAGATCGACTGATTTAGCACGCTCAAAGGCAAGACCAAGGTTATGACATTGAAATTTGAATATGGAGGATCGATCTAGCGACCTCTAAAGCATGAGGTGCCCTACAATGTAAGTTACATAGCACAGATAGGGAGATAAGGGTTAGAAAGGTAAAAGCATGGGGTGCCCTACATAGACTGAAGGATATTTGGAAATTCAAACCCTGAAAGAGCCTTAAGATTAGATTGTTCATAGCGTCTTGTGATCAGTATGCAGTACTGCTCTACGGATCAGAAACCTGGAAACTGACGAAGGCTCAAGAGAAAAGTATGGACGGGACATACACAAAGATGCTGCGTATGGCGCTGGGTATCTCATGGAAGAACAAGGTCAGCAATATAACTTTGTATGGTAGCCTACCAAGGCATCAGTTATTCAATTATGCCTTAAACGAAGGCAAGAGGATGATGATTAATCACTCTACACTCGACTGTCACGTGACTTTTTCAACCCGTTCTCTAGCTGGCCCTGAACGACTATTCGAAACCCTAACCCTCTTATCTGATCCCAACCCTAACCCTAACCCAATCCCTAACAAAAGCATATGCTGAAACCCTAACTGAACGAGAAATTCGACCAACTTCCTTATACGCACGGTCATATCACGTGATCAAGACAGTTTTTCGCCAATATCTTGGCAGGGGAGCATTTTAACCCTATGTCATGGGGTGTGATTCTGAATCAGCGTCCGAAAATACATCGATTCAAGCTGTTTTCAACTGTCGTGTCGGGGGCCCTTTAAGAACAATCTCGAAGATCGACTGATTTAGCACGCTCAAAGGCAAGACCAAGGTTATGACATTGAAATTTGAATATGGAGGATCGATCTAGCGACCTCTAAAGCATGAGGTGCCCTACAATGTAAGTTACATAGCACAGATAGGGAGATAAGGGTTAGAAAGGGAAAAGCATGAGGTGCCCTACATAGACTGAAGGATATTTGGAAATTCAAACCCTGAAAGAGCCTTAAGATTAGATTGTTCATAGCGGCTTGTGAGTCAGTACTGCTCTATGGATCAGAAACCTGGAAACTGACGAAGGCTCAAGAGAAAAGTTTGGACGGGACATACACAACGATGCTGCGTATGGTGCTGGGTATCTCATGGAAGAACAAGGTCAGCAATATAACTTTGTATGGTAGCCTACCAAGGCATCAGTTATTCAATTATGCAATTGACTGACGCCGAGTAGGGTTACGAAGCAGGAGATTAAAAATGGCAGGACACTGCATCAGACATCCTAAGCTACTTGCTAGTGATTTAGTCTTATGGGAACCTATGCATGGTAGAGCACAGCAAGGCCGACCAAGACAAAGCTACTTGTCTATGTTACTGAAGGAAGTTGTGACAAACTCTAAAGAGGAACTGCGAACCCTGATGCGGGACAGGAATATATGGATGGGGTTATCTGGCGCTTCGCCAAGTTCCTGCCTTAATCTTATTGCTGGCTACGTGGCTGATCAAGAACCAATAATTGTGGGAGAAAGATTGAGATTTGAGCTGTCTAGATACTGAGTATCTTATCGCTTTAAAATAGCGTGCTGGCAGTCGTATTCTTAAATGGTATTGGCACTTACTTAGAAATAGATGTCCCTAAAATTAATCAGCATATTTATTAATTAAAAAGTAATATAAAAGAAAGATTAAGTTGTTTTGTAAAACATTCACAAACCTGATATTTGATAACCTGGGGTAGGACGAAGTCTTCACAAGGTCAAGATAGATTAGTTAGGAATAAGGAAACAGGTTTCTTCTCAAAATCGTTTTTCAAAGTTTCTTGAAACTCAGTCACTGAAAACATTTTCAATCAAAAACCATTGAAAAAGGTGTACCAGAAGTTATACTTATAACATGTAAAATCCGGATTGGAGTATTGTTTATGAGTCGCCTGGTTGCGACTAATTGTATAAATTTGTATTGATCCCAGAAAAACCCAATTAGATCTACAAAAAGCTAGGTATAATTTCAGAAAAACCCAATTAGATCTACACCGAGCTTGGTATAATTTCAGAAAACCCCAATTAGATCTACAACAAGCTAGGTATAATTTTAGAGAAACCCAATTAGATCTTCAACAAGCTAGGTATAATTTCAGAAAAACCCAATTAGATCTACAACAAGCTAGGTATAATTTCAGAAAAACCCAATTAGATCTACAACAAGCTAGGTATAATTTCAGAAAAACCCAATTAGATCTACAAAAAGCTAGGTATAATTTCAGAAAAACCCAATTAGATCTACACCGAGCTTGGTATAATTTCAGAAAACCCCAATTAGATCTACAACAAGCTAGGTATAATTTTAGAGAAACCCAATTAGATCTTCAACAAGCTAGGTATAATTTCAGAAAAACCCAATTAGATCTACAACAAGCTAGGTATAATTTCAGAAAAACCCAATTAGATCTACAACAAGCTAGGTATAATTTCAGAAAAACCCCGATTCTAACATTTTGGTAATGACAAAGTACCATGTACTTTTATAATCATGTTTTGGGGTACCCCTTCTTTTTTTTGGGACAAAAAAAGTACCATGATACTTTTCGAAAATTTCATAAAACACCCACCCCCCCCCCCTCGGGTACTTTTAGGGTTATGTTCCATCAAAAAAGTACCTGCACCCCCCCCCCCCCCCCGGTCCCAGTCCCCCAAATTGCCTACAAACACATAACAAATCAAGTGCTCCAGGCCCCAGCCAGTTATAACATGTAAAGTGTAATTGTCCCAGGCCCCCAAACTGCCCACAAACACATAACTTAACTGGGGCGTAAAGTCCCTATTATTGGAGATGTACTAAATTGTAAGTGCTCCAGGCCCCAGCTATGCCAGGTGAAAATCTATATTAAATCACGGTACTTTCCAGTATCAGCCATAATAACCCAACTGAGACTAATATAACATCTGCATTGTATTGGTAATTTATATTATGTAGTAAGTTACACGAAAAAGAAAAAGAAACAGTACTCACTACCCCGAGTTTATAGCTGAATTTAGCTAAACTCGGGGTAGTGAGTAGCTGAATTTAGCTGAGTTTTATAACTTCAGAAAGTCTCTTTACTATAAATATTCCACGTACCTGCCAAGAAGTATAAGTGTCTCGTCAACAAAGATGCGTCGATTTAAACAAGCTAATAAAACAGGCCAGGTTTAGTGTAAGCTTACAAAGACACGAAATCGAGAATTAGAAAGAGTCACAAGTCACAACGAGCCTGACGAACCAAACCATTCGGATGTAGATTACTGGCATTCCAGAGTACAGGAACATGATTAAATGCGTCACGTGCACTTCACGTGACCCGTCCGAGAGCTCAGAATAGCGAGTTTAATGTCAGCAGGTAAGGTAACGTGATGTGTAACGTGACATTTCATTAGATCACGGCGGTATTATATTACCTACCTACACGGAGCTGAGAGTACTCAACACCTATCTAGCTGGTGAGTATTAGCCTGTAGCAGACCGGAATTGAGCCCTGTAATTTGTAGGTAATTGTTGTTGTGTAGCTGAGCTGCTCATATTGCATAATACAATTAAACTGTGTCACAAAGTTAGGGGTTTTGTGACAATCTAAGGATTTGTAGTGACAAAGCAAAAACTTGACAAATCATTTGGAGCAATGAGTTGTATATAAGTGACGTACGCTGCTGCAAGCTGCTGACACCTCGACAAAAGCTTCTCACGCTATTGTGCTTTTTATGGAGAAATACGTTAGTAGCGTTTTTGAGCTTGTTATTCTCTTTCAAAAGTATTCCAAGTGATTTGTATAAGTGCATATATTGACTCTGAATACATAGCAAAATAATTTTCCTCGATTCATGAAGTTTGAAAGAAGTTACAGCAATGCGCGCAATTTGGGGAGTGTGCTTTTGGCGGAGATATAATATGCAAGCCTCTTGATTATATAAACTGCGCCTATACGTATAAGTGACATGACGCTGCTGCAAGCTGCTGAAACTCTTTAAATTTAATGCGTGAGACAAATTAGAATGAGGGAAGCTAGACTTCCCATAAACGTTGGATAACGTGCCGGACAACGCTCATTATATAGACCACCGTATTGCAGACTGCAGAGTTATGTCTATCTTGTTTGTTAGTTTGTTCGTTATTATTTGTAACTGCTGCATGTTTATTGTTTAAAGATGTGGTGGACTGGTACCTGTCAAGTCATCACTTATTACTCAATAGAATACAGTGTTCTATATATTACTCAATATACTACTATACTTCTATACTATATATTACTCAATATACTACTATACTACTATACTATATATTACTCAATATACTACTATACTACTATACTATATATTACTCAATATACTACTATACTACTATACTATATATTACTCAATATACTACTATACTACTATACTATATATTACTCAATTCTACGAACATTAGACATAAATACACCGATTATTGCCCGTAACCCGCCACCTTTATATTTAATTAGAGAATTATTTATTTCTTTATATTTAAATAATAATATTAGACATTAGTAAGACTCCTCTTTTCTAACACAGTTCTTAGAGTAAACGTTAACGGAACGCTATCAGCTCAGTTTCTGAGTCTGCTGGGCGCTTTTCAGGGTGACTGCCTTTACATTTGTACTTGCAGGTGCAATCTGTGACCATCCTCGCATACTACAATGGGCAGGCCAGATCCACCCATTGCTAGTCGAGGCCTTCCCCTTGACACTGAGTATGCAGATGATGTCGACTTCAATGATGGAGATAAAGAAAACCTGAAGCGCATTTTGCCTGCGGCAACTTATGTGCTGAAGAGTTCTATAATCGTTTTTGTGCTTTTATGAACTGCGATATTATGTACATTTTACGCCATATTACTTCATATTTAAACCTCCTTTCCTGCATCATTTTACACAAGGCCGGAGTGCACCTAATCTTCACATCACGATTCATGCTGTTTCATACTTTACACCTTCGTCGTTTTTTCAATTGAGAGGAATAAATGTTACGAAGGGCACTTATTTCTATACTATTTTACAGTCGATCCCAGCTTTTTAAATTTTGGAAATTTAAAAAGATGTGCAATGTGTCGAATGTTTCTCTACACTTGAAATTGAGCAAGGCAGCATGATGTCAGATGATGTGCAATGTGCATGTTGTATAAACACAGTTTGGTTAGCATTATGTTGGGTTTTGATAGAGACCAACTTTACTATCAAGTATCAAGTTTTTGATTAATCATTTATTACAGGCAATTGTTTCCCAAGAGATAATGATTAAGTGTTCATGGAAATTACAATTTTTTAATAAGAATAATTTGTAAGATGACAGATTTATTCCAAAGTTAATATTACACAGAAAATTAATCGTGTTTGAATGAAATATAAGGAAAATGTCCTGCTTTATTATGGGTGTTAAGGTTGTTCATACTTTAGGTAGGCTAGTGGTAGGATATTTAGGCCAGTGGTAGGATAGTGGGCCTGTAAAAATGTTCCGGGACATAATTATAAATATCATGGTTACCATGGTTATAATGGTTACCATGGTTATAATGGTTACCATCTTACTATATATAAAGCGAGACGATATATATATATTTATTTATCCGTGCCATTTTACTGACACCACGGCATCAACTTTAACACGACTTTCCGCAAAAACCGTAAAAGATATACAACTGAAACTTTATTGACTGGGTCAAATGCTTTAATGGCTTTCAAATCAGCATGAAAAAATAAAAAATTGGCCAAGAAATAGGAGTTTTAGAGACCAAAATTTGGACCCCCAAGTGGTGTCAAAAACGCGAATTAAATAGGTAATAATTATTTTAGTCTCTTGAGTCTTGACACCACTTTAGGGTTAGACGGGTTCCTGCTAGTGGTTATAATGGTTATCATGGTTATAATGGTTACCATGGTTATAATGGTTACCATGGTTATAATGGTTACCATGGTTACAATGGTTACCATGGTTATAATGGTTACCATGGTTATAATGGTTACCATGGTTATAATGGTTACCATGGTTATAATGGTTACCATGGTTATAATGGTTACCATGGTTATGGTTATGATGGTCGGGATGTGGTGAACATGGCTATTTATTTGTGGACAGCCTTACGATACTATAAAGGGGTCGTTCACATATTACATAATCAATTTTTGAACAATTCCCCCCCCCCCCCCCCCCCCCCCCCCTTCCGTAATCAGTTTTACACGTAATCATTTGGAGACCCCCCTCCCGCTCGGTTGATCACGTAATATTATGTGAACGTCCCCAAATTGTAATTGTGCCTCGTCACAACTTGTATAAGATTAATGAAATCTCAAAAAATTATCAATGCAGAATATTTTTTAGTTCACATAGGCAAATCGTTATAATATACAAATATTTTTATTTAAATTGGTTTTTAATAGAGTAACATGTGATGAATATTTAAGCGTTTTGTTGTTACATTTAAGTTGTCTTTAAAGTGATTTGATTATTATTGCCCCGATGAAATGACTTTCGTTTTATTTTTGATCAGTTTGCTTTTAAAGTGATTTACATGATTCGCCCTCGTGTCTACCCTTTTAAGAAAGTACCGCCCTTGTGTCCGGTTCCCATGAGAATATATAGAAAGAAATTATTCCTTGGATTCCACATTGATCAGGTCCTGGTACTTTATATCTGCAGACGCAGGCCAGGAGGGATCCTGGGATCCAGATACCAGAGGAATATCTTCATGGACCGAGGAAATTAATTAGGTCTTCATTGATTTCTTTATAACTCTGTAACTCGTCACTGACACGATCAGCATTGATGACTGATGGGGTCGAATAGTTACTTCATAGCTCGTCACTAACTGGATCAGCATTACATGACTAACAAGGTCTCTTACTATTACACCAAGACAAAGGTCAGTAAATAACTATTAATATCGAAGAAATTAGCTAACAAATTATCGAGTACAAATGCCTTCTTCACAACTATTCAATATAATAATTACTTATATATTGTTTTGGTGATGAGCAGAACAAATAAATTTATTCTGTGGCGTCATATTTCTAAATGACTCAGTCGCAGTGCCTGAACCTTAATATTGGGCCTGACTGTGGCCTCAATGTCGCTATGATATTTTGAGCCCAAGCGTTCTCGAAACTCTTTGTACCAAGCAGGATAATGATATCTTAAAAGTCAGTCAGCGAGTTCGGATGGTATAATCTTGAACTATATTGTTCTGATATCATTCCTTAGAACTTGAGTATCAGTAATTACTATAAAATTAATTAATCATCATCCATTTCCAAATAGGACAGCAGCGTTTTTGAGCTTTTTATTTTATTTCAAAAGCATTCCAAGTAATTTATATAAGCGCATAGGCATAGCTATATTGATATATTTATTCTGAATAAATTGTAAAATATTTGATCTCTATTCACAATTCATGAAGTTTGAAGGAAATTACTCATAAGTCATACTGCAATGCGCGCAATTAGGGAGTGTGTTTTCAGTGGAGATATATTTATAACCTGCGCCTATGGAATGATTTGATAGCACTTAATGCGACACGTGCAGTTTTTTGGAAATCGCGCGCGCATACAAATACAATCGGACAATTTAGTTGCGTTCTGTTCTCTTTGCTTTCGTTGAAAGTTTTAATCACCAGTCATCAGTCATGCGCAACGTTGAGCCGCGATCTATGATCTACGTTTTTTTTTCGTGTACAATTGTGAATAAATTTTATCGGTTTTATAGGATGGATACGTTTTCCGGACAAATGTTTTGCTATTCTCAAAATCCAGTTTCATGTTCTGCACTTAATAGTTTACAAAATTAAACTCTATTTTCTGCTATTATAACTGTAAACGAATTATATCAATAGTCAATAGTTTATTAGGTAGACTAGTGGTCCCGTTTTACTTTTTACTTTTTGACACTCTTTATATTTTGGGGTAATTTTGTTGTTTCCAAACCACGAATGAAAAATATAATTACTATGTTCATTCTGGCGCATTTATATTATTGTATGAAACATTTCGATACAAAAACACTGTAATATTTAGCAATAAATCAAAAAGGAAACACAATTAAATAATAGTAATACTTAGGTTAGTGGGTGAAATTATCTGCAAGTCATAATTGCTAGCTTAATATATTTGTACAAATGTCGCCTCAGTGGCGTAATTGGTTGATAGTCTTGGGCCTTTAACCCGGAGGTTGCGAGTTCGAATCCCGGTTGGGTCAAA